CGAACAAGATCTTATCTAACTTAAAACATTCTCAATTGGACTTTTACAAATTCAACTAGATAAAATAATATGTTTTTCTTTCCAATTGGAAAAATGAGGGAGGTGGTACACTATTAGTATTATGTTACATTTGAATCTTAAGGTCACACTTGACTTAGATGGTGGTCAATTGGTTATGGTTGAAAATGAGCTTGTAATAATTATTTGAAAGTACAAATGAATGACCGTTAGGAGATTGGGAAATAAACATATTATAATTCCTCAGACAACTAAGTAAACCTCTCAAAACTTGGTTTATTTGAACAAGAGAGATGTATTTGTGCGCTTTGTTTCTTTCTGTTAATTTGAGTAGAAACTTTGAAAGTTTGAAGTCACAAGTCAAAAGTTTTTTTAGTTTTATTTGAGAGTTTTAGACTTTGAATTGAAAGGTTTACTGTATAAGTTTCTTAAGTTCTAGTTGGATGTTTTAGATTTTTAATTGAAGCTTGTAATGTTTGAGTTGAAAGTAATGTTTGAGTTGAAAGTTTCCGACCACATGTTGGAGGTTTCTAGGTTGAAGTTTTATAGAGTAGAAAGGAAGAGCTCGACATGCTTATGGATTCTCAATCCGTGTCCAAAATAGGCATGTGCATGACATGCGTCACTTCGTACGCATGTACTAGTAACCCCATTATATTTTGGAGAAATAGAGTAATTATTATATGGACTTAATCTACGAAGATATTATCTTTTCCTCAAGAATACATGTTAATGATATAAAATTAGGGAACGATTGATCATTATCTTTAACCAATAAAGACACCATGTGGAGATGGTGCTGTCACAAGGAAAACTAAAAAAAGACCTCCATCAAATACGACAAATCATCCAAAACAAAGATTTGAATCAGATCGATGAAGTGCACCGCTGCGGTTCTGATTTTTAAGCCAAACATGTCTATCAAATATAAAAGGGCATGTAGATTAGTGGTTGTAATGATCTGAGTAGTACCCCTCGGTCAATAGAGTATTTACGAATAACCATTTATGACACGTACAATGGTAATTATTGGTAGACTTTTAATTGTCACCTAAGCAACAATGTTTTGCATGGCAACGACTTAGCATCAGCTCAAAACACGGAAAGAGTGAGTAGACGTGAGGAGTGACTGGTGCGGTAGACTGTTATCTCTAGGATTAGAATAGTAGTGAAATTTATACCTGATTAAAAAATATGCAAGGCTTCCACTAAAAAAATTCGTCAATCTTCCTTTTTTTCCCTTTTTTCTTTTTCGCCGTTTTTTCCTTTCTCTTTTCTTTTCCTTGTTTTCTGTTTTCTTCCATCCATCCATCTTCCTTTTTTTCTTTTTTGCCATTTTCTCCTTTCTTTTTTTTTCTTTTCCGTTTTCTTCCATCCGTCTTTTCTGCGCCAGTTTTTCTTTTTTTTTTCTGTCCTTCTTTTCGCCTTCTTTTTTCCTTTCTTTCCTTTTTTTTCGGTTTTTCTTCTTTTTTTTCGTCACCTTATTTTTCAATTGATTGTAAAAATCGATTCCCCGCCACTCTTTCATCATTTTCTCTTTTAGTTCTGTCTTAATGCACTGGATTTAATCTCTATTTAAAAGTCACCGTTTTTATCCCGAGTTTTGCGGATTCGCTCCGATTTTGATAAAAATGGAAAGAGCACCGGATTTAATCTCTATTTAAAAGTCACCGTTTTTGTCCCAAGTTTTGCGGATTCGCTCCGATTTTGATTAAAAAACGGAAAGAGTGAATCGATTGTATAAAAAGCCATAAACCAATTTTGTAAGATCGAGAAAGATTCGACCGGAATTGATGGAAGGACTGGTCTGGCATTGTATGGACATGAGATGTTGAGCATATCGATTGTATAAAAGCCATCAACAATTTTGTAAGATCGAGAAAGATTCGACCGGAATTGATGGGGAGGAACGGTTCTGGCATTGTATGGACATGAGATGTTTTCACCGTTTTCCGGTGGTTGAAGACGACCGTCAGCTATGCGAGCTATAACTACAACTCCACTTGTGAGTTAGGTCAAAGAAAAGCAGGCCAAGCAAAGGGAGGTAGCGGCTTATGCTGGAACTGAAAAGGAAGAAATGAATTAATAAGGTAATCAGCTTTTGGTCTAAAAGCAAAGAGTAAAATGTATAGCGAGCTTTTGGTCCAAAACCAAAGAGTAAAATGTTAGCGATCTGAAAAAAATTTTACCCGTTGCAACACACGGATATTTTTTCTAGTTTACAAGAAGAGAGAAAGATAATGAAAGAATCATAGATGATTAATTACTAGAGCTGGGGTATGTCTCAATAACTATAGACCTACATAGTCTCTTGATGATATGAGGGATCCAAGAGTTTGTATGAGACTCTGGGTGTGTTTAGTTCTATGTCAAAATTGAAAGTTTGAGTAAAATTGAAACAATGTGATGAAAAAATTAAAAGTTTGTGTGTGTAGAAAAATTCGATGTGACTTTTTTGGTTCAAAGTTTGAATCTAAATTGGGCCTCTATTGTTGAACATGTCCATTTGTTACCACAATTCCTTTAGTACTCATGCTACTATAAGTAGTAATGGGCAATTGTGCATTAATTCCAGCGGTAAATGGTCCAACAATAAGGCCTGGTTTAGTTCCTAACTTATTCTTTAACTTACAACTTTTCTATCACATCGAAACTTTCCTACACACAAACTTCTAGTTTTTCCGTCACATCGTTCCAATTTCAATCAAACTTTCAATTTTGGCGTGAACTAAACACACCCTAACTTGTAATCTTGAATCTCGGTGAACAGATAAAACATTCCTTGTCTAAGGGCCTATTCACTTTGATACTATTTTCAATCATACTATTTTTTTAGCAAAGTTATAAAAAAAATATCTACATTTAATTTGTTATCAAATTTAGTCAATACATAAGAAATCCTGTCAAAATTTTAATAATATTATCATCTTGCAAAAATTTTGATATTGTCAAAATTTAGTAAGGTATATTTTCGCTATAATCTGAACGGGAAAACATCATTATCTGATTTCTACTTTAGAGAGAAACCTTGTACGTGCTCGGACGTCGGGACGTGAGCTCTCTCTCTCTCTCTCGCGAGAAGCAACGAAGAAGATTCATTCAGCGGCCACGTGTAAAAACAGGAGCCTCGAGAAAAATATGCTGGGACCCACCTTCCCACAGCGTCCTGGCCATCCACTCGCGTCCTCCTGAAGCTACCAACGCCGTAGCGCCATCCTGAAGCTACCTACGCCCGTTGCTGGACGTCGTTAGACGAGAATCAGACGGCTGTGATTGCTTCTTCTGACTCGAAGGGACGAGAATCCGACGGCTGTGATTGCTCTTCATTCTCGCAGAGTCGCAGTTCGATGTCCAGGAATAAGTTTTTTTTATTTTTAAATAAGTCCAGGAATACGGTACGTGGTTCCGGAATTTTCCTGGCCTCTCGTCCAGGTCCCAGAGATCCCATTTTCTTTGGGGCTCGCCAGCGTGGCAGCCAAACGGGAGACCATGTGAGCCGATTGATTATTTTTTGCATTCTTTTTTTTTCTGAGCTGGAGGCTCACCGGTAGAGACATCTTGGACGCGAGGTAAATTCAGAAAAGTAGAAAACGATTGAATACAGTAGCTAAGACGAGTAATAGTATCATTTTGGTCATAAGCACGTGTTAGGTAGGATATCCTTTTCTAGTACTGCTCTAGCTCTAAAAAAGAAACTGCTTTGCTGCTTATTTTTGCTCTACTAATAAAGAATGTCAGCGCAGTTTGCATGTGTATATAACATTTTTGGCTAATGGATAAATGGGAATGGATCACGTTATGACGATTCTATAATGTCTCTTCCATCTAAGGAAACAAAATCGTGTGCTCATATATCAATCATGAAATCATGGAGAATAATCAGACGTTCCTTGATTTTCGAGTTGAGATGTCATTGCATCTAAAGGTGGAGCGTCCTGTAACTACGACGTGCCCATTGATCCGACGACAAGAAAACATGGAGTATACTTTTCCTAATACAACGAATCTCGATAGGGGTTATATCATCCAGAATCATTATGATCTCTTTTAGATTAGGTTTTTTTTAACGAAGGGAGTATAAATTAAGTAAATCAAAGTAAAGAGTAAAGATAGTTACTAGATGGTAAAAAAGCACATTAGGCCATTCACAACCCAAAACACTAACATAGTTTCCATAAACTCTATATTATTAAAAAACTAGTACTACACACTATTCTTTCAATGCAAACACCAATATTCCATACTTAAATTTAATGCTACTTATCTCACATGATGTCTTGGATATTGTGTAGAAACCATGTCTCATGCAAGACATGGTTTTATTCTCTTTCCTCATTTATTCACTTGCCACATCATTTTTTTTATTCTAGGTGGCAGCTTATTTATTGCTATGAATAATATCCTAATCATTGGGTTAGGAATAGCCTTATATTGCCTTTTCGCTCACCATATGATCTCAGAGATTTTGCCGTTGCCATATAATTATGCAATGGAAAAGGCTATACGTACTAACTTTTTCTTACTAAATTCTTACTAACACTGATGTGTCATGCTACGAGTGCATCTAGGTTTTTCATAACTTCCATCTAGCTAAAGATTTAGTAAAAAAAAAAATTAGTATGCGTAGCAGTGCTCTTATGCAATTAAGCGCGATCAGTGGAGCAATTAGCACGCTGCTTCCCCTAATTAACCGTAAAATTCCACATCACCGTGAGGAAATCGTTAGGGCCCACAAAGTCATAGAGAAACAGAGACGACTAGACGGAGCAAGATGGAAGTACACAGTCAAATCCCCTCACTTCTGGCGCATTCCGCTCCCGCGAAAATCCCGAAACTGCCCACGCCAGAAGCTTCCGTCAAAAGCGTCACAGCCATCGATCCTTCGATCTTCCACGCGTACGTCCAGATCAAACGCCCCAGTTCCGTAGCAACTGGACCATTTCGCCCCCTCCGTTTCCTATTTATAGCCTCGCCACCCCGTGACCGGAGAAACCCAAGCAAACCAGCAGCTACTAAGCAAAGCACAACCAAAGCTTAAGCTTCCTCCAAATCCTCACACAAGAACTCGCTCTTCTTAACCCTCCCGGATTTTCTCCGACGAGATCGATGGCTCCTCCCCAGCTTGCCGGCAAGATGACCGCCAAGGCCGCCGCGGCGGTGAAGCCCGCGACGAGGGCGTACGTGACGTTCCTCGCGGGCGACGGTGACTACTGGAAGGGCGTTGTCGGGCTGGCCAAGGGCCTTCGCAAGGTGGGCTCGGCCTACCCGCTGGTGGTCGCCGTCCTCCCCGACGTGCCGGAGTCCCACCGCCGCATCCTCATCTCCCAGGGCTGCATCGTCCGGGAGATCGAGCCGGTGTACCCGCCGGAGAACCAGACGCAGTTCGCCATGGCCTACTACGTCATCAACTACTCCAAGCTCCGCATCTGGGAGGTAATTAATTAATCAATGAGCTCGTCATCGCCCATTCTTGATTTGCGCCAGCGAGCGTGCTCACGTGTTTGTGTGGGGTTATTGATCCTGGTTGTTTGCAGTTCGTGGAGTACGAGAGGATGGTGTACCTTGACGCCGACATCCAGGTGTTCGACAACATCGACGAGCTGTTCGAGCTGCCCAAGGGGCACTTCTACGCGGTGATGGACTGCTTCTGCGAGAAGACGTGGAGCCACACCCCGCAGTACCAGATCGGCTACTGCCAGCAGTGCCCCGACAAGGTGGCGTGGCCGACCGCCGAGCTCGGCCCGCCGCCGGCGCTCTACTTCAACGCCGGCATGTTCGTGCACGAGCCCAGCATGGCCACCGCCAAGTCCCTGCTCGACACTCTGCGCGTCACCACGCCCACTCCCTTCGCGGAGCAGGTAAAGACTCGTGCTGGCATAGGCGCCATAAATTAATTCTTGGTTCTAGGCTTCTAGCGTGTCGGATTGGTGCTTACTGTTCTTGGTTTCTCGAAATTGCAGGATTTCCTGAACATGTTCTTCAGGGAGCAGTACAAGCCGATCCCACTGATCTACAACCTTGTCCTGGCCATGCTCTGGAGGCATCCAGAGAACGTCCAGCTCGAGAAGGTCAAGGTCGTGCACTACTGCGCAGCGGTACGTGGATCGTCACCAAACTGACCGATGGCCGCTTGATATATGTTTCGTATGCTCATCTGGATCGGTAATCCAATTGTTGCAGGGATCGAAGCCGTGGAGGTACACGGGCAAGGAGGCGAACATGGACAGGGAGGACATCAAGATGCTGGTCAAGAAGTGGTGGGACGTCTACAACGACGGCAGCCTGGACTTCAAGGGCCTCCCGCCCATCGCGGCCGCCGACGACGCCGACGAGGTCGAGGCGGCGGCCAAGAAGCCGCTGCGCGCCGCGCTGGCGGAGGCCCGCACCGTCAAGTACGTCACGGCGCCATCGGCCGCGTGATCGTACGGCCACTGTCGCTTCCCTCCGGTGCCCGGGCGTCCGGCTCCGGCGGCGTACCTCTGCATCCCGTATCTTGGTATTTTTTTAGGATGTCCAATTTGGGATCAGTATGTTCCTTCTAGTACACTTCACAAATGTAACGAGGCTTGTTTAGAATACGTATGCTGTGGATTTTGTGAATATCTGTTCCTTTTGAGTCAAAACTCAACCAGTGTGATCTTTGTATTTTGTGGAAATCGATATATCATAGGAAGTTGCAAAAATTACGGCCATCCTTTTGTTCTCTTCTTTGTCACGGGCGTTTGGTGGTACTACCATTCTACCAATAATCTTTGTACTAGCTCTTTGAAAAGGAGTTGCAAGGACCCTTACATTTTTTTTCACTGTCGGTGAGGGCGATTAAGGTCCCGTTTAGTTTTTAAAAAAAAATTCCTAAAAATATCACATCGAATCTTAAAATTTTTTTTCCTAAAAACATCACATCAAAAACATCACATTGAAGCATTAAATATCTTAAATTTTTTTTTCTAAAAACATCACATCGAATCTTTGACACATGCATAAAGCATTAAATATAAATAAAAACAAAAGCTAATTACATATTATGGAGGAAATTGCGAGCGGGACACATATATGGAGCATTAAATATAAATAAAAACAAAAGCTAATTACATATTGTGGAGGAAATTGCGAGACGAATCTGAGCATAATTAGTTCATGATTAGCCATAAGTGCTATATTAACCCACATGTGCTAATGATAGATTAATTAGACTCAAAAGTTTCGTCTCCTTGTTGTTTTCAGACGAGTTATGAAATTAGTTTTCTTATTCGTGTTCACAAATATCAAACGTCCGATGTGACACTAAAAATTTTCTTTTCCTCGACGTTTCTGGATGGTTCGCGTGTCACATCAGCATGACGTCTTCGTGGGTAGTACGCCAGTACGTAGTACTATACATTTGCGTGACCCGAGTTGACCCTTTCTCTTGCTCAATCTCTCGATGTCGCAGGGAAAGACTTTCCCCAACGCGGGCCTGTCGTTGCTCGTCGAGCCAAATTTCTGTATACGCAATCGCATTTGCGTATTTGCCAATTGCGATTTGCATGGGCCTCCTAATTCATCAGGTCAATTTTCGGTCGGGGCCTCTGGGGCAAGTGGTACATACACTGTACGGTGCAGGCGCCGTGTCGCTGTGACAAATTTTGTCTAATCGACTCGCACGAGACGGTGCGAAGTTCTATTAGCAGAAAAAAAATTACAAAATTACAACCTTGGAGGGTCGTAACTAAGAAAAAGAAAAAAAAATACCACCACCCATACACCGACATCGCCAACACACAATCCCAGGAGAAGGCTAGCACCGGATCGACCGCAGCTAAGCCTGACCGACCGCCACTAGACCAACAAAGGGACACAGACGAGATTGCCCTCTAGGGGATGCCAAAACAATGTCTTCAAGAAGAGAAGCGACGGAAAAACCGCCGCCGCCGTCCGTCGGGACTCAAAGGAGCCAAGATTGGGCTTTCGCCCGGCAAACACCCTTGAGGGGTGAGACAGCACGACAACGCCCTCAGGAGGGGGAATTAACCATCGTTGTCGGTCCGGGCAAGGCCGGACTGGGTTTTCACCCGCCGCTCACCACATGCGAATCCACGACTAACACACCGATGTTCCACCACCACACAAGCTCTGTCGACATGTGGGACCCCTGCACCGGCGTCCCCCGCCGGCCAGCCATCGTGCGCCAAAGACGCGCCACATCCACCGGCAGCTCCTCCTCACACCTAGGTCGCCTCCTCCACTGCAGGCCGCGCCTCTCGTGCCAAGCCGGCCTCCTCCACCGGACACGCCTCTCGCGTCAATCCGGCCTCCCTCCATCGGCCGCGTCTCTCGCGCCAAGCCGGCCTCCCTCTCCGCCGCTCACGCCTCTCGCGCCGAGTCGGCCTCCGCTGCCATTGGCTGCGCCTTTCTGCGCCAAGCCGGCCTCCGACCCCTCCACCAAACGACGCCGTGCCGGTCAGATGCTGCCGTCTCCCACGCCCTCGGCTAGCCGTCCGAGACAGTCATGCCTTTGATAACCTGCAGTCACGATCGCCACCACCACAGCCGTTGTTGCCGAACACCCAGCCACCTCACCGTCGCCATCCTCACCTCGCCACCGTCTCCATCCCCGCCGCCGACATCGCCACCACCTCCACAGTCACGGCCGCCGTCGCCGCTGTCATCGACACCAGCCACCGCCTCTGTAGACCACTGCTGCGCCATCACCCTCCGCTACCACACAGTCAGCACTCGGCCCGACGCCGCCGCCATGTCCTCCACCGCCAACGGCAGCCGACGACACCGCTGCCCGCCAACTGCCATTGCCAGTCGACGCCGCAGTCACTGCCGCATCCGCCAGCCACCGCCAGAGCCGTGGCTGCCACCGCCGCCGCGCCGTCCACGGGCGTCGCGTAGCCAACCGCCCGTCAACGTTGTCGCCATAGACGCCGTCTGCCACCGCAGTCACCGCCGCCGCTGTCGCCAGCCGCCGTTGGCAACCGTTGCCACCGTCGCCGCCGCCACCAGCCGCATCGCAGCCGCCGGCACCCCAGATCTAGAGGACCTCGCCGCCGGCACCGCCAGGACGAGCGCCGACGCGCCCGAACCGCCATAGCCGCCGCTGCTGTCACTAGCCGCCACCCGCCGCCGCCGACACCGCCAGCTCGAGCGCCGAAGCGTCCGACACCAGGCGCCGCCGCCGCCACCTTCAGCCCCCGCCGCTAGCCGCCCCTCCCCCAGATCCGGCCGGGCCCGGCGCGGATCTGGGCACCACCACCGCCACTCAGGGCATCCCCCAGCCGCCGAGCGCGTGGAGGTGAGACGAGGCCCTGCCGCCATCGTCCTTGCGGACGCACGGCTTTGCCGGCGCCCGCTCAGGCGGGGGAGGAGACGTGAGGAGGAGGAGGACGGCGGCAGCGTCGCCTCCCGAGTCGTCCGGGGGAGGGCGACGCGAGAGGAGGGGACTGGATGAATAATTTGCAATATTGGCTATAAGAGGGCGCGCTGTGACAAATGTGATTCGCGTGCTGCAGAGCACCCGCGGTTGTAGGCGAACCAACAAGGCTGGGGAAGAAATGCGAAAGCCATCGAATCATTGCATAGCATTTGCGTTAGCAAGTCAACTTGTACTGATGTTTTTGGTTCTGTTCTCGTCGCAGTAATGCTGTTAAGACCAGAAAGAAAATGAACAATTCAGCATGTAAAAGACCTGCACATTGACTAGAAAGTTCATTTAGTGTTCACCTAATGGTACATAGGTTTCTAAACTGGCCTGTTTAGATCATTTTGCTACGGCAAACTTTTTTAGCAAAAGTTTTGGTGGTAAAAATTTAGCATTGTAATTTTACAAGTTGGTGTTTAGATGCGTGGTAAAGTTTTGCCATTAATTGCTACTGTCTCTCATACACAGCGCCCGATGTTTTTTTTTTTTCAAAATTGCTGCTATGGACTTCTAAATGACAAATACTAACTTGTCTACTTTTTTCTACTAGTGTTTAAATTTATTTTATCAAAAGAAGTTCTAAAACGGTAAATTTTTTACCATTTTAGAGGATCTGAATAGGTCGATAGTATCATGGATTTGTTTGTTAAAGAAAGCAAGTACATTTGACCACCCGCAGGGACTAATTAAGATAGAGAGACTAATCAGAAGAACACGGCACGTACGTGTCCCAGTTCCCTGCCGAGTAGGTTTCAGGACTACAGTAACCCCGTAATTAATTATGCCGATCTTCTGGAAATTAACGTGGTGCAATGTCGTCGAAAGTCCAACCAAATTAAAAGGCCGGGCACACGTACGTCTTATCATGTTATCCAAACAAACTGGAGCGGCCGGGTCGACGCACTCTCTCGACGCACGACGTTGTATCCCCCGGCCGCGACACGGGCAACTTCTCGATCGATCGCGTCATGGGAATCATCAGCAGATCGATCGTGTCGTACTGCAATACCCGCCTCGTTAAGGTGGTGTTTGGTTGGAGGGACTAATCCATAAGTCCCTCCAAATAAGTCCTTTTTAGTCTGTAAACTACCAAACGGCAGGAACTTAAAAGAGACTAAAATGGCGTAGGCAAAAAAGTCGCTGGGGGAGGAGCTTATACGGTCTAAAAATCTATAGTAGAGCGCGTTAACCCTATCTGTCGCTCTCACTTCACTCGGTCTCTCTCACACACTTCACTCTCTCTCTCCTGTACTACTCGCTCCCCTCATCCGGCGCAAGTGAACGCGGGCGGCGGCGCCTCCCTCGGCTGCCGCCGAGCGAGCTCCCGAGGCCGGCGCGCGCGAGCTCACGCGGCCGCCGCCTCTGCCGCGAGCGCGGCCGCTGCCTCTGCCGTGAGCGCGGCCGCGCGTCAAGCTCAGTCCGACGACGCCGAGCGACAGCTCCCGTGGCCGCCGCCTCCGCGAGCTCCCGAGGCCGCCGCACGTGAGCTCCCCGGGCTGCCGCCTCTGCCGTTCACGCGTCCGCCGCCGCCTCCGCGAGCTCCCGAGGCCGCCGCACGTGAGCTCCCCGGGCTGCCGCCTCTGCCGTTCACGCGTCCGCCGCCGCCTCCGCGAGCTCCCGAGGCCGCCGCACGTGAGCTCCCGCGGCTGCCGCCTCTGCCACCGCCGCGCGCAAGCTCACGCCGCTGCCCCACGCTAGCCGCCGCTCGTAGCTCTTCAGCCATGGCCGGCCACGACGACGACATGTTTGATTTTTTCTCCCAATCACAAGCACATCACGAAGCCGCCTCCGTTGACGCCGACGAGTACAGATTTAGCCAAGCTTCCTCAGGCCATGGCGGATCTGGTGCAGGCTACCATTTTCCAGGGAGGGGATCGGCGGGCCTGGATCTGAACTCCCAAGTAGAAGACTTCCCCGATTTCGGCTCCTACCAGCAGATCCTGCAAGAAGATGGTGGAGGAATACCTCCACTCTTCCAAGCCACCAGATCCGACGTCGCCCCGTCGCGCCGTCCAGTACCTGGTTCCAGGGGCGGCAGAAGAGGTGGCAGAAGCCGAGGTCGAGGCCGCGGAAGGGATGGCACCATTGGTGCCGCCGCCGGCAATCGGATGAGGGGATTCGTTCCCATGGTGAGGGTGTTGTGGGCTGTGGGAGCTCCATGTCCCACGGTGCGGGTGTCATCGGCCGTGGGAGCTCCATGTCCCACGGTGCGGGTGTCATCGGCCGTGGGAGCTCCATGTCACACAGTGCTACGGGGTATGGGGGCTTCGGTGGAGGAGGATGGGATGCTGGGACGTCCTCTACCCCAACCGAAGCTGCCGAAGAGGAGGACTACAACGTTGAGGACGATGATGAAGACGACAACGATGGTCAGCACACGGTAATCATCCAAACCAGAGTATTCATTGGTTTTTCATTTACTTTGATGAGCTTTTGTTACATGCATTGATCTGGTGAAATGATACACATACAATCCTGTTTGACATGCTATATGAATGGTTGTATATTTTAGACTTCGATATGTGATCTCGTATATTTTAGATGCATTATACTTTTCTCTGGCTTTGTTAGGACAGAATATGGTAATCTATGTATTAATAAATTTTTCTTTAGGATAAAATTCCTTATGACAAGGCTTGTTGGACAGAAGAAAATACTTTTATGTTGTGTGTAGTAGCCTGTGAGGAAATAAGGAATGGAAATTGTCCCCAAGGAGGATGGACAACTAGGGGATACAAGAACTTGAAGGAAAAATTCTTCCTAAGAGCTAAAATGAAGCATTCAACAAAACAATTGAAGAACAGATTTCTTCAACTAAAGAATATATATCTTGCTTGGGTATGGCTGAATAAACAGACTGGATGTGGTAGAGGACCAAATAATGAAGTTACTAATGCAGATGATGCTTGGTGGAGAAGAAAAGTGAAGGTATGTACTTGTGTCATACAAGTTTTAGGAAATTAGACTAGGATTTGTGCTTTGTTCTAACATAAATTACATTACAGGAGAAGCCGTGGGCCAAGAAATTTAGATTTGGCAATCCTGAGTACTTAGACATGCTCATAGAGATGTACCAAGGTGTAGCAGTAGATGGATCCTCTGCCTATATCCGTGGACATGAAGAAGAGGAAGAGGGAGATGATGCAACACTTGAGGGTCTAGCTATAGGGGCTGAGGGAGTAAGGGGGGCAGCAGTACAGGAAGGAGGTGAGGATGGTTTTGGGAACAGCCCCATGAGCACAAGCAGCAGAAAAAGGGGGAGCAACACTTGTGATCAGTCCACAGCATCAAGTCCTGGAAAGAAAAGCAAGAGTCCAGTGGTTAAGCTTATGAGGGGGTTGTTACACACTTTCAGCAGTGACAATGAAAAGGCAAATCAGCTGATGAGTGAGCTTGTGAATGCAGAGAAGCAAAAGGAGAACGTCACAGAGAAGCAAAAGGAGATTCTCAAGCAAGAATTGCTGCATTGTCAAAGGTTGGTTGTCGAGTGTGGGGCAGCAGAGGACAGTGCGGAGTACTTCTGTGCAACACAGTTGTTTAGGGATGAAAACAACAGAATGATGTTTCAAAACATTAGCAGCCCTGAGGCTAGGTTGATGTGGTTGAAGAGGTGGTGTCGGTAGAAGAAGTTGTACTAGGCAGCACTTGACATGTGGCCCTTTTGTTCCACTTAAGTTGCATTTAGCTTGCATTTAGGCAGTGAACTTGCATTTAAATTATTGTGTAATAGACCTCTGTGTGCTAATGCTTGTAATGAACTTGTGTTGATCCCTATGCTGACCATGTGCTTAAATTGTTATGTTCAATTATTTGTAATGTAGGATGTCGATGATGACAGAGGTGATGATGGCAGTGCTGATGACGAGAGTGCACTTGATGACTATGTGAACAAAGAGAGCACTGTTGGTTACAGTAGTGATGCTCGAAGGAAACTACTCTGAAAAATTATGATGATGCAACAAAGAAGAAAGCAAAAAATGGTACTGCTAGCCGGCATGATTGGTATGTATTACTTGGACATTTACTCAAACAAAGCACCTAGAAGAGAAGCAGTTGAGTCTGGATATGATTGGGTTATGAGAACTCTAGGCAGAAGAACTTCTTGCTATAATATGTTTAGAATGTATAGACCGGTGTTTGAGAGGTTGCATAGTGTGCTTGTGGAAAAGTATGAATTGAAGTCTACTAGAAACATGTCATCAATTGAGGCTTTAGGACTTTTTTTGTGGATAGTAGGTGCACCCCAATCAATTAGACAAGTTGAAGATCGCTTTACTAGGTCACTTGCAACAATAGTTTCCAAGTTTGATGAGGTGTTGGATGTTTTAATACAACTTGCAACAGATATTGTTAGGCCAAAAGATCCCCACTTCACTACTATCCATAAGAAGTTACTGTCCCCAAAATATACACCGTACTTGGATAATTGCATTGGAGCAATAGATGGGACACATATACAAGTTGTGGTCCCAAATGCAACTGCTGTTCAACATAGGAATAGTCATAAGGAGAGGAGTCAAAATGTGTTGTGCATTTGTGACTTTGATATGAGATTTACTTTTGTTCTTGCCGGATGGCCTGGATCGGTAGATGACATGAGGGTGTTTAGTGATGCTCAGAACAGATTTGGTCACAAGTTCCCATGGCCACCTGAAGAAATGTTCTATTTCATGGACTCAGGGTACCCAAACAGGCCGGGTTATCTTGCACCATATAAGGGAATAACTTATCACTTTCAGGAATACAACGAAGGCATAATGCCCCAAAATAGGAAGGAATACTTTAACTACTGCCATTCTTCGTGTCGAAATGTGATAGAGAGGTCCTTTGGAGTGTTGAAAAATAAATGGAGGATTTTATTCCACTTACCAAGCTATCCACAGCAAAAACAGAGTATGATAATATGCGCTTGCCTAGCATTGCATAATTTCATTAGAGATAGTAAACTAGCCGACTGTGAATTCGACATGTGTGACCAAGATGAAAGCTATGTTCCATTGCCTGAGCAAAGTCCTCAATCAAATGATCCAACCAGCTCTTTGGATAGTCAAGTGATGAATCAATTTCGGGACACGGTTGCCAATGGACTGTAGAGTTTAAAAAATATGTAGTCTCCTGTTTTATTCATCTTATGGACTGTAGAACATATAACTTGTAATAACTGATATGTATGCGGGAATTTGTATTTTCATTTACTGTAATTGTGTATGCTATATGTCTGCATATGGTGGTGCTGTTAAACTGTGCTTGATGGCCTGAAACTGTGTTCAATTTTAACTCTGTATTGTGAACAAATCTTCTTGTACTTGTAATCTCTACTGTGAATCTGTATGCAATGCCGCAAGATGGTCTTGGTTGATCTGTGGCTGCATGAGGGGGTGTTTTGTGCAATACATGTTTATTAAAAGTACCTATGAATACCTACTAGACAGCAATTAATATGGTTTTAGTCCTATTTAGTCCCATGCTAGGACTAAAAAGGACTAATATTTTAGTCCTGAGACTAATCTTTAGTCATAGGACTCCTAGGACTAATGTATTCAAACACCCCCTAAGCCGAGTACATATATACTTACTCCACGCGCACGCGCGCACGCGGATTGGCCTATCAAAGTCTGGTTGGTGCACCGCCCGCCGGTGGTGTACATGCATCTCCGCGCGACACATCCCTCGAGTTTGTTACGACGACCTGTCGCGTTCGATAGTGCGTGATATGGCTTCGCGTTATCCACCACACACCAACAGATCGCATCGATCCAACGGGCGATCGGCGCGCGCAGCTGATCGCGCGTGGCGGCGTGTGGCGGCATAGAATGTTTTGTCTGCACGTACGTACAGATCACGGGGTCTGCAGCTTCCCCGATCGAATAGAAGTCACTGACAATCAAGCAGTAGTCGAGCACATACGGCGATGCATGCGATGCGATGCAGGGCAGAGGCCGTTCGATCGAACACGTAGGCGATGTAGTAGCTAGTGCTCGGGTGGCACGTGATTCGGGTGGATGTGGCGAAGATTGGTGGCTGGAGGCGCGGTGCCCGTGCCGGTATACCTCATGCCGGACATGCGTCTCGGCACGCGGCCTGCTAGTGCAGCAGCCACGTACCTATCTCACCCGCTCGCTCGCTGCTGGCACCGGAAAGTAACGCTCCTTGCAGAATTGCAGGCAAAAAAAAAAAAAAAAAGTGTCGGCCCCGGCGTGGTGATGCCTTCCTTATCCCCTGCTCCACTCTATGGACTCTGTCAAGCTAGTCCTCAATTGCTCAAGGCTGTACTGTACGTCATGGTTACGTGGGTGTGTCTAGCGGAATTAGATCTTTTTCTCTCTACACTTTAGCTCCTTTTATTTTTATTTTTTTTTCTAAAATCTTATTTTACAAATAGAACGTTGAAAAGACTTATTTCAGAAATATACTATTTTTCTCAGTGCTAGAGTTATTGACGCCGATGTTTAATATCTTGGTGATACTGTTACCGATACCCTTGCTCACCGTAGTAGTTGAGTTGTCGATGTGATACCAGTATCCAAAAGACTGACGCCGAGAATCTAATCATAAAATATTTTAAAAAAACAAAATAAGGTGGTAACGAGTGTATATTTGTAAGAGAAAAATATTTACATTTTAATCTCTTCTAAAAATATATTTTACAAATTGGAACTCGACATCACTTTCATTTGCTGACCCTCTACATCTTGGCCGCTAGAGAACGAGGCTGTCGACGTCAGCGTCATTAGTACCAAGATGTTGGATCTATCGGCGCTAAGAAAAGAGTCCATTCTTGAAATGAGTTTATCTAAGAATTCATTTATAACATAAGTTTTTAATATAAAAAAATGAATACAATCTAGGTTAGGGAAACATATAGAAAGTTGGGTCATAGCGGTGAAAGTAAACACAAATAGGGGAAACTATTATAAACTTTCGAGGGGACATTCCCTCTGTCGACGAGGATACCTGTAGAGCAGACAATATGGGTATTGGGGTACGTTGGTACGAGGATCTACACGATTCGATATCAAGCAAACAAAGAGACAAACAATTATACTGGTTCAGACCCCTCGTAAGATAATAGCCCTAATCCAATTTATATGAGATTGATATGGAAATTCACAGAGTAAAATAAAGAACAACTGATTCCGCGGTTACCAGCGAGATTCTTGTCGAGAGAGTCTCAAGTCTCAATGAGATCTACCAGTGAGTAGGCTTCAAGTCCTCCGGATTGCTTATATGGTGGCATGTTGGCTGATGTTATGATTCGATGCCTTGGACCTTTATGGGGTATGTATTTATAATGTGAATCCCTTAGTCTACTAGTAGAACTCAGAGACCCTAGACCCTGTACGATATTGTATAATCATGACTCTCTCCGAGTATAACTTTGTTATGTACTTACCTATGAGGATTATTTCCATAATCTCTTATCGATTTACTTATTGTATACGAAAATCTATAACACATAAAGATATGTCATATCCGTATATTCTAATAAGTAGTAGGATAGAAGGTATGTCTTATCCATAACCATGACACTCTCATGTCATCTAAATAGTTATGAAAAAATTTGAAAAAAAAATCAACAACATAGATTAATATGTGATAAATCACTCCACAAACATGCAATGTCAAATTTAACTTACAAGTTGTAAAAAAACAAATTTGACTATGAATCTACGTTAACCAGCTATAGTTTAATTTGTTTTCTTTTTGGCAATTTGTAGAAATTAAATTTTCACTTGTATGATTGTGGAGTGATCCATTACATATTAATCTTTTTAGTTGAATTTTTTTAATAACTATTGAGATGACATGTAAATAACGAGAGATGTTCTCTCGGGAGTTTAGAATCCACTTAACACCTGACATTACTGGAATCTGTGAAGGAAGATCGAAATACGAGTATACAGAACGACAAGCTGGTTCCGTCTCGCAACGCTTGGAACCGATGGATCAGATAGCAGGGACCAGCTTATTTTCTTCTTCTATCTTTAAGATAGCAAAGGATCAGCTAGTTGATCACTCCAGGTTTCCAACTGCGAGATATTTATCTGTTAGGTAGCCAGTATGTAATCGTTAACAGCGCCGAGAGAATTACAGTGCATCTTACTGATGTCCCGACTGTCCTGAGAGATCTTCTCGCAAATTGCAGTGAGATGACATGGTAGCGACCATGTTAATGTTTAGTCCGAATTGTTGCTTGAGAAGACAGGAATATGGGATGGAAAGTGTTTTTAGCAGCATTATGTGGGTGTGCAGTCGAGATGTCAATCCTAGTCTACGAAAACACAGTGCGTACTCTTGATTATTAATTTGCAAAGGACACTTTAGTTCATTAAGCTAATAAAGGATATCTTAGTTAATTAAGATCTAGTACACCTGCATGTATTTCCTTTTTTTCCTGAAGGCAAGACACATCTATTTCAAACGCCTAGTCACGCTGCTAGCCGTGCTGCCTTATCCGTTTGTGTATTGTTCAACAACTAATTAGATAGGACAATCTGGTTAGGCACTCAAAGTGGGTGAAACCAGCTATCTGATCCAGATTATGGTACCAAAGTAATTTAATCAGCACGAGCGAGTCAAACCGCCGACACGCGCGTATCTTCCAGGCGTAAAGAGACATTTGTGCAGTTTTTTTCCCTATAGCGCACGACTCTGGGAGAGGTAATAAGAAATCAACGCATGACGACGATACGTGTAAATTGACATCGCGACGTACATGTATTCGACTGAATCGCCGTACGTAGACAGCAAATTAATCGCATGTAGGACCCAGTACAGGATCGGTGAGACCGT